CTTGCAAGACAGAAATGCATACATCAAAGTTCCGAAGCATTGCTTATTCACAGTCATTACTATTTCTTATTTTTATGATTAATGTCTTTACTTACTGTGTTCAAGTCGAAGCGCCCTCAGAGGGTTTGACTGTGTTTCTTATAGAAATTCATCTGGGGTTGCTGATTGTTTGATATTGTTGACTTGATTTGTACTTATGTCAGTTCACATGCCCCTCCTCTCAAAGACCCAAGATACACTGTGCTTGCCACACAGGCCATAACTATGGTGACATTTAACCTTTAAGTTGGGCATAGGAAGGAGTTACCGATAACCATAACTAAATAAAACCACAGAGCCAGGCGCCGGTGGCTCATGCCTGTAATCCTAGCTACTCAGGAGGCTGAGATGTGAGGATTGCAGTTCAAAGCCAGCCTGGGCAGGAAAGACCATGAGACTCCTATCTCCAATAAACCACTAGAAAACCGAAAGTGGTACTGTGGCTCAAGTGGTAGAGCTCTTGCCTTGAGCTGAAGAGCTGAGGGACAGCGTCCAAGCCCAGAGTTCAAGCCCCAGGACGGACAAAAATCAATCAATCAATCAATCACAATGATTTACTGAATTAACAGTTATTTAAGAACTAGGTGCTAGGAACTCACACCTGTGTTCTTAGCTAGGAGACTGAAATCTGAGGATCATGATTCAAAGCCAGCCCGAGCAGGAAAGTCTGTGAGTCTCTCATCTCCAAGGAACCACCAAAAAGCCACACGAGGAGCTGTGGCTCAAGTGGTAGAGCACTAGCCTTGAGCAAAATAGCTAAACCAAATCAAGTGAATGTGATGCCCTGAGTTCAATTTTTGAATTATTTCTGGAATTTTCCATATGATAATTTTAGAACAGAACTGACTATAGGTAAACATGCACAAGTTGAAACCATGAGTAAGGGAAATGATTGTAATTTGTAAAATCACACCACCTAGTGTGTCAATGCTATGTTTAAAATGTTACTACAAGATCTAAAATACCCCGGGACATGATGAATAATACAAGACTCCAGGCATTCACACACAGCCAGACCAGAGGAAGACAAACACAAAAGCCCAAGGCCTCTGTGCCTCTGATTATATAAAATAATATTCATCTCAAAGAGCTCCAGAAATAGAAACAAAGATTTCTTTCTTTGTCACTATTTTTTTTCTTTTCCTTTTTTCTCGTTTATTAATTTGTCTTTGGGAGGGCAAGGAGTGCACAGAGCAAAGGGTAAACAAATGCGGCCATGGTCCTCACTGGAAAATGAGCTATACAACTTGTAGGTGGGGATGGGAGGGGAAAACTTGGAGAGAGCAAGGGACGGGGTGACACTGTCCAAAAAGAAATGTACTCATTACCTGAATTATGTAACTGTAACTCCTCTGTTTTTAGCATTTTCAAATAGAAAAAAAAAACTTTTAAGAATGTTATTACGATGTGTGAAGACCTTGAATGCTGGAGATGAAATGTAATATTCTCCACATGGCAGGGTGGGGCACAATGAGGTGATCGGCGTGTGCAGAACCGGGCTGGATGCCCAGGGGCTGGGCCGGGACCACTGGAACGAGATGCTGGCCTACCACCGCAAGCCCATTACGCACTGGCACCCCTTGCTGGAGGTAAGCCAGAGACTTGCTGGCCTCCACTGCGGTGGTTAGCACTTTCCTTAAATAGATTGACCTGTTAACCCTCACCTGATGCTTGATTTATTCACAGCCTCTGACATCTAGCTTGCTGTGTGCTGTGTGCCTGGGGGATCATAAAACCCCACAATAAGCACACAATGCTGCAAGTCTACCTACTTTCCTTTCCTCTTTCCTTCCTCCCTCCCCCTTCCTTCCTTTCTTCCTCTCTCCTTCCCTCCCTCCTTCTCTCCCTCCTCTCCCTCCTTCCTTCCTTCCTTCTTTCCTTCCTTCCTCCCTTCCTTTTTCCTTCCCTCCCTTTTCTCCTCCCTCCCTTCCCCTCTTCTCTCCTCCCTTGTTCCCTCTTTCCTTCCATCCTTCCTTCCTTCCTTCCTTTCTCTCTTCATATGTGCTGGTTCTGGAGTTGAACTCAAGGCTTGGACATTGTCCCTGAGCCTCTTTATTTGCTCAAAGCTAGTGCTGTATCACTTGAACCACAGCTCCACTTCTGGCTTTTTGTTTGTTGATTGGAGATAAGTGTCCCACAGACTTTCCTGCTTGGGCTAGCTTTGAACCTTTTACCTCAGATCTGTCTCCTGAGACGCTAAGATTGCAGGTATGAGCCATGGGTACCTGGTTTTATTTCCTTTTTTTTTGGTACAGTCTAAAATTTTACATCAGTGAGTCCTGAGCAAGCTTGTATGCTTATTAGTGGCTGTAAGTGGAATTTTGTGGAATAATCACCTTACCTAAAGTCAGCTTCACTTTACCAATGCTTTAGTACTGCCATGAGGATTTACTCCAACTCACAGCCAGCTGATAGCCAGCCTGCTGGCTCCTCTCTCCTCTACTCTCCATCCCTCTCTCTCCCTCCCTCCCTCCCTCCCCATCTCTTTTCCTCTTTCTCCCTCTCCTTCTTCCCTCCATTCCTCTCCTTCCCTCCCCTCTCCCTTCCTCTCTCCCCTCTTCTCTTTCCCTCCTCTCTTCTCTTCTCCCCTCCACTCCTCTCCTCTCCCCTCCCCCTTCTCTCTCTTCTCTCCCTCCTCTGCTCTTTTCTCCTCTCCTCTTCTCCCCTCCCCCTTCCCCTCCTTTCTTCTCTCCCATTCCCTCTCCCCCTCTCCTTCCTTGCTTCTCTCCCCTCCCCTTCCTTTCACTCTCCCCTTCTCTGTCCCTCCTTTCTCTTCCCCACTTTTTTCCTCTCCAGTCTTCTTCCTTTCCTCTTATTTCCTTCTTTCCTTTTATTTTTTTGAGAGAGTGTCCTTAAGTAGAGGTACAGTACCGGAAGGGACAAATAGTCTCTGCTCCCCTCCCACCCCCACCAAACCCTCTGGTAAAGGAGAGCACAGGAGCTATCAGCCTGCCTGAGCATAAGTCCTTCTGTGCGTCTGTATATTGTAAATCCTTGGGCAAGTTACATGAATCTCTATACATTCCTCCTATCACCCTGGGCTAGAAGTAAACCAAATCAATGGGAATATTGCATGCTTTGCACATGGAATACAATATTAGCACTTCCCATCACAATATTATAACTTATGATAATGACTATTAACCTCTATATTAAACAGAGGTGTTTATGAACATCCATTTTCTGTCAGGCCTTTTGTTTCTGGAGCTCACATCCGCCTCTGTGGTCTTCTGAAAGTGGCATGGGTTGAATGACTTTCTTTCTAATCTCCTGATCTTCTGCAAAGTTGCAAATAAATAATGCATATGAATGGATTTATTGTATAGTACTGTCTTGCAAGCTCACAAAAACATATGTAATAGATGAAGAGCAAACCTATTTCAATTTAAAAAACAATAGGTGTAATAGCCATTGAGCAAATGAATGATAGCTGTACCAGCTCTCTTCCTAGGGATAAGACTCTGCTTCTTGCTTTGAACTACAGTTCAAAAGGAAGCAACACTTACTAAGTGTAGTACTTTTCCTACACTGAAACATATATTCTGAAATTATTATCTTCCAGTTACCTGGCCGGGCAACCAGTTTTGACAGTCAAGGGTCCTGCTCTTCTCCCAAACCACCACCTACGCCCTAATGCTTCAAAACATATGGCCTTTATGAGGACCTACAATCCAGTGCTTATTGAATTAGGGGAAAAAATACAACTGGAAGGTTTGATTTCTTCATTTCAAAAATACCCATGGTAATAAACAAACTTGATGTGCATTTTTTTCATTTACCTTATTGTCTTGAATATCTGAAGACATTTTACTTGAATACAAATAGTCCTTTGTTACATCAGGCATTTGGCCCTCAAGTCACATGCCTGGTTAGCAGTGTTTCAATACCTTGTGACTCTTTGCATCAGCAAAGAAACTGTGTTTTTTAAAAAAACAAAAGAATCCCTGTGTATCTAAACTTAAGCATACTGTCTGCTGCTATTGCACAAAGTAGCACATTTTATATTTGTATGGTTTTACTCTTGTTACAACTGTGTTTGTTAATGATTATGCACAAGGTTCTGTATTGATGGACTTCTTTTTGGTGATGCTGGGGAAACCTAGGGCCTCAAGCATTCCAGGCAAATTTCCTACCACTGAGCTACATCCCAGCCGCCTTTGATGGACATTCTAATCTTAACTTACGTAGCATCAAGTCTTTGCACACTCAAACTAATGTCTCCTACTTGATAATAGCATTTTTTTCCTTTCATTCGGAGCAAATACTTTTCTTGGTGAAGTCTGGCTCTGCCAAACTAACCAAACAAATAAAACATAAAAAAAAAACTTTGTCAAGCTTCCTGTAGAGAAAGCTGTACATGGAATCAATTTTTGAATATCAATATAAGAATGTCATGTAGTAGCTGGAGAAAAAATGGAAGTTGAGCCATTTGGGCTACTGTTTTATAATATTGTACTGCTGATGTTGATTTAAACATGTGTTGTGTTGTGTGACTGGTATTTTCTTTCCCCCAAGGATCATAGTGACTACTATTTGAGTAGAATAAGAAATGTATTTTTTCCTCAGTGTTTCTAAGGTTCTCAAGGCCTGTGACACATGTTCTTTTGTGTTTTGAGGCTCTCCTATAGATCTTGTGTTTCTGATTGATCACACTTAGCAGACACCAAAGGTCCAATTAAATGTCTTGTGTTCACCATCTTTTTACATTATACTCTGTGATGACAAAGTTTCCAACCAATCAGGAGCCTTTCAGTGGAACTGGATTATTTTCTTAAAGAAAGAGTGACCTTTTTGTTCAGCCATCTGTGCATATATACCATTAATGATACAACTTCCACATGTAATAAAAATGTGCAATTCAATTCTAAAGGCACAGACCTCACAGACCTCCAGTCCTTTCATGAAAGGAATTTTCCTTCAAAAGGATCAAGGAAGCCAGATGCTGGCAGTTCAGTCCTGTAATCCTAGCTACTCTGGACACTGAAAACTGAGGATCAAAGTTCAAAGCCAACCTTGGTAGAAGTCTGGGAGATTCTTATCTCCAGGTAAATACCCCAAAAGCCAGAAATGGAGCTATAGCTCAAATGGTAGAGCATTAACCTTTAGCCCAAAAGCTTAAGGACAGTGCCTACGCTCTGAGTTCAAGCCCCAGTACTGACAGGGGAAAAAAAGGATCAAGAGCAAGTATCAGGCTACTAGATGTAAAAGCTATGCAATGTTTTTACAAGACAGAACTTCCTTTTCCTTTTCATCCAGATCTACTTTTTACTGTCTTATGTCCAGATCTCATTGGAAAGTGTCTGTATTGAATTATTCCAATGTTACTTTTGAGATGTCCATATTTCAATTTTATTCTAAACTAGAAAGATTTTTTTAGAGCAACAACATTTATACCTGGAACATAAAACTAATTTATTGGGATGAGAAACTTTTTATCATGAATTATGAAAATTTCATTCTCACAAAATCCCTTATTTATAAATATTAAAAAATTAATTTTAAAAGCCTTGGGATTTTGTTTGCTGGAATCTTCTAAGAAAAGAAATGCTGTTAATTAAATTGTAAATATTTCACACATTAGTATTTTAAAGGCAAAGAATACTGCAAAAAATTTTCCAAAAATTCTTGTACTACCCTAATGCAAGTAGTATTATTTTGAGAATAGAATTCTAATTGAAAATAATAGGATAAACCAGATTGAAAACCCTTGGCTACCTTCTCAAGCCTAGAAAACCAATTGTTAGACTGAAGATGATAATTTTAGAACTTTATTTCATTGGGAAATAAAATTTGTCAAATGAAAATTGAAAACTCTTAAATCTATTGACTTTTTGAGAGGTAATTAGTTGTAGCCAGTGTAAACTTGCAACTACATTTTCTAAGCCAATATAGTATGTACTTTTGCTTGTAATTATATTTTGTGCATTATTCATCCTTCAAGCATTGTATTTTTCTTGATTTCCTAAACAAGAAAAAAAACACTTCTTAGGACGAAAACTATCAGCTACTCAGGAGGTTTTAATATGAGGATTGACATTAAAATACATTCTTTTATGTTAATTTTTAGAAATTAAAAAATATATTTTCCCCCTAGGGGTTAGAGTTAACTTACAATCTCAGAATATGTGGTTAATTCTGTGAAAGAAATTAGGTGAAAGAATTCACAACTCATGTTTTCTGTAACACAGGAGAGAAATGTACCCCACTGATTGCTCCAGCAGATCATGTACAAAGATAGCTCATTTGAAGAAACTGTGATCCCACCATTTTGAAACAGCATCCCTTTGTTCTGCACAACCATACATGGAACTTACCTCTTCCTGCTCATGACTGAAGAAATGTTTTTCATTCCAGCATTTAAAATAGAGTCTCATGTTAAAAATCTCCACTGCTAATTTCTGTATGCCACATTTTAGTAGCAGGATTGGCATAATATGAAGTTTAGGTATATGAGTTTAGGTATATGAGTTTAGGTATATGAGCATAATATGAGTTTAGGTATATAACAAATACCTAATCTCAGGGATTCATTGCTAAAATAGAGGTCCACAAAAAGGACCAAGTGTTGATTCATTAATCATAACTACACTGAGGTTCTTTTGTATTTCTTTTTTCATGGCTTTGTGATCATTACTTTATTGGTTTCAACTGATTCACCAACAACCAATAAGGGAAATGGGTAAATCATACATGGAAATGATCAGAAATGTTTGCAGAGGACATAAGTTCATCACAAAATACACTGATACGTTTTTTTCCCCTCTCACCTATTTCTTATGCTTGATCTTAGCCAAAAGGTGGATATGTGATCATTGCTTTTCTAATAATATTTTCCTTGGCCATTTGAAACTTCATGATCAAGGCCAGTCTGTGTCTCTGCCACCCTACTGAATGTCCAAGCACATTCAAATATTGTCAGGACTAATGCCAGAGAGATACTAACAGAATGAAGAGCCAAACATACACTTTGTGCACAATGCTTTTTGTTCACTTGTGCATGTTACTGCAGGGAGATCACAAATGATCAATTCTGACTCAGGTTTTATATTAAAACAAATACATTTGAACTGAATTGACTATGATGTCTCATTGACATTCACAATGACATGAATTATCCTCCTAGAGTGTTTATTAGTTTAAAATTTTGCAGCCTCCATTAATAGCTGTCAATCTCTTGGAACTTTCATTGAATGGCTAGTTATTTCACAAGGAGGGGGTAAAAAGTCAACCATCTATGCCTCTGTCACCTTTACTATCCAAAAAATGAAAATATGATTTATTTCAGAAGTAGTTCTCTCATAAGCCAGTGACACAAGATGTTAGCCTTGACCACAGGACAATCGCTTTTCCTTTTCACAAAGACACTTGGATAATGTTGAAGAACACATGTTTATGGAAAGGGTTGAAGTGCTATTCATATTACTTTAGTTGTGATTAGAACCAGGCAGTTTACTTACTTGATAATTAAAAGAGAAAACTAAAGGAGCTAGGTGCTGATGCTGCACTCCTGCCTGTAAGGCCAGCTACTCAGGAGGCTGAGATCTAAGGATCACAGTTCAAAGCCAGTTGGGGCAGGAAAGTTCATGAGACTCTTATCTCCAGTTAACCAGCAAAAAGCCATATGTGGAGGTGTGGCTCAAGGAGTAGAGCTCTGCTTTGAGTGAGAAAGACAAGCAAGAGGCAAGGCTTATTTGAGGTCAATACCAGCACAAGATAGAGAATGCGTGAGACAGAGACAGAGAGATAAAGAGAGAG